CGGTCAATCTGGATGGCCAGAGTGATGAGGTCTTCTAACGTGGCTGGTATGCCCACCCTGGCTAATTCGTCCTTTAATGGCTCGGACAAACCTATGTGGAACTGGTGGCGCAGGGCCGCATCGTTCCATTGCGTATCCCCCATCCAAACGCCTGAATTCTGCCGCATACTCCTCGGCCACCCTACGACCCTGTCGGAGTGTTTGTAGGGCCGATTCGGCCAAAGCTGTTTGTTGTGGGTCATCATAAAGAAGTGCAATCGCTTCAAAGAAGGTTAAAACCGACTCCAGCTGTGGTTGATGGGTCTCCAGTAAACAGTGGGCCCAGGCCTGGGGTTCGTCCTGCAGCAGCGAAATGACAAATCCCACCTTCACAGATTCTGTGGAAAATGTCCGTGGCTGCAGGCTGAAGTAGAGCTGGCAGGCATTGCGGAAGGCCCTGAACTTAGTGCGGTCCCCATTGAACCGCTCCGGTGTAGGCACACGAGGTTCTGGTACAGACATAGAGGCCGCGGCTCCTGCAGGCGTTTCCGGGAGGCTTCCGGCCGACGATGAGGGACCCGAGTCTTGGGATGCAGGGGCGGAAGTAGTCAACATCTGAATCCATCCTTCCAAGTGGGTATAACCCTCCTGCAGCGTCTTTACTGCCTGGGTTAGTGCCGCCAGGTGCTGGCATATATCCTCCAATGGGGATGGTCCTCTTCCAGGCTCCGACATGTGGCCATTTGGTACTGTTAAGCACCGCCTGGCGGCGTCTCTAGCAGCCCACAGCACGGGGTTCCTCAGGGCGTGGGTTCTAAGTCCCAATCTGCTTATTCAGCAGGGCCCCTGATGGTGGGGATGGACTTGGAGCAGACTGAGACCAGGTCACGACCCCTGAGTACGTCCGGCAATGGTAGAGAGATCGTCATCAGAGGTGTGCGGGGAAAGGAGCCTGACATGAAGAGGCTGGCAGACCTGGTAACAGGGACAGATTCGTGCGAGATGGATGGATGGATCGTCTGGGTAACGTAAGGTGTAGTCAGGCCAGGCCAGGTCAGCAACGTGCGGGCAGCAAGGTACCGGATGAGCAGGCAGAGAATGGTCAGGGTCACAAGCCGGGTTCAGTAACTAACGGGCAGCGCGGTACAGAGGATCAGACAGAAGGATGGTCAGGCAAGCCAGGGGTTAAACAGGAGATGGTCAGCAGGGTCAGGAACAATGCAGAGGTCGGCAACAGAAGATTCACAGGATCAGATATCAGGAACAGAGCAGATAAGACCAAACGGCAATTTGACATACCTCCTGTCCTGTTCAAATAGCCTGCCCTGCGCTGTCATTGGTGCCAGGCGCGTGTCTGTGATCACGAGTGCGCATGAGCGGCCGTCGCGATCGCCCAGGTCCCGCTGCTTGCTGGCTAGGGTGCATCGGTGTTCTGCGCATGCGCCTCCCGGCGCATCACGGCAGAACCACCGATCCCTGACAATTGGATTCAGGTCAGGTGATTGACTTGGCCATTGCATAACACTCTACTTCTTTCCCTTAAAAAAACTCTTTGGTTGCTTTTGAAGTATACTTTGGGTCATTGTCCATCTGCACTGTGAAGTGGCGTCTAATGAGTTCTGAAGCATTTGGCTGAATATGAGCAGATAATATTGCCTGAAACACTTCAGAATTCATCCTGCTGCTTGTGTCAGCAGTCACATCATCAATAATTACAAGAGAACCAGTTCCATTGGCAGCCATACATGCCCACGCCATGACACTACCACCACCACCATGCTTCACTGATGAGGTGGTATGCTTAGGATCATGAGCAGTTCCTTTCCTTCTCCATACTCTTCTCTTCCCATCACTCTGGTACAAGTTGATCTTGGTCTCATCTGTCCATAGGATGTTGTTCCAGAACTGTGAGGGCTTTTTTAGATGTTGTTTGGCAAACTCTAATCTGGCCTTCCTGTTTTTGAGGCTCACCAATGGTTTACATCTTGTGGTGAACCCTCTGTATTCACTCTGGTGAAGTCTTCTCTTGATTGTTGACTTTGACACACATACACCTACCTCCTGGAGAGTGTTCTTGATCTGGCCAACTGTTGTGAAGGGTGTTTTTCTTCATCAGGGAAAGTATTCTTCGGTCATCCACCACAGTTGTTTTCCGTGGTCTTCCGGGTCTTTTGGTGTTGCTGAGCTCACCGGTGCGTTCCTTCTTTTTAAGAATGTTCCAAACAGTTGTTTTGGCCACGCCTAATGCTTTTGCTGTCTCTCTGATGGGTTTGTTTTATTTGAAAAAAAGGCACGGACTGACCAGGAAAAAATGGTCAGTGTGTGTACAATGGAAATGTGAATAAAAACCTTCCTTTAAAATCATATGGTGTACGTATGCTCCCAGATGTCTGAAAATGACATCCAAATAGTGCCTATTAAAGACTGGTGCAAATAAATAATGAGAACAAATCAAGAGAAGTGCTGACTGAGGGAAAAGGTCAGTAGTGGATGGAAACACAATAGATAGTGAATATTTTTTATTCTTCTTTCTTCTTGTTTCTTTGGTTTTGCAGTACTACATATGTGTGGTTCTATATTTTCACTTGTTTTAACCATACATGATCCATTTTTTTTTTTGTTCAGTCTGCATGTTGAACAAAAAAAAACATGACCTGATTCCCCCATCCACACATTTGAGGTTGATAGGGGAACCCGCCCCGCTGAGCTATTGTATTCTAACAGTGGGAAGACTTCCCTGCCATCAGAATACACTGGTCAGTGCTGCCATCTATAGCCTGCGGTACTTACCAAGTGGGGAAAAGCAGTTGGTGGACTGACTTCTGTACAACCACAGTGCTGAAGCAGCCAAATTTCAGTCCATGTATGCTTGTCTTTAGTTAAACAACTTGGTATACACATTCCAATGAAATGAGTGATAATGAGACACGTACATTGAAGAGATGAAACATTGCAAATAAAGCATAAAGGATAGCCAAATGTGCAAGTTAGAAAAGAAAATTGGTTTGAAAGAGCTGTTAAAGAGGCCATAAATATCAAACTGAAATGACCATCCCTAAACGGAAGAGAAAACCAGTTATCTAGCAAAACTATTTGACAACAATTCAGACATCCATTATGAAGTTCATACAGCTTTGATACAAATTAACACTTGTCCTAGTAAACTCATAGATATTCTTGGGAATGGTTTACAGTACCTAGAAATTTCTTTACCCAGAAGAGGTTTTGTGCCAGGAAATTTGCTGTAATTCAGCTGAGGCGAAAAAATTACTTAAATGACTGGTGAAACATTCAAGGTTACAAAGAGGGTCCAATTGCTTTTGAATTACTACCAATATAAATCTTATTACGTAGAAGACAGAAAAAAACATCAAATACATTTAAAAAGTTGTTAAAACTGGGAAGTTTAACCATGTCTAGAAAAGGTTTCTCAGGAATACAGTATGCAGTTTTTCTCATTTAGCCCATTTAATTTAGGTTTATTTCAAACTTCCACTCATGGATGAGATAAATTGATACAAGATTCCCTAGAATATTATTGGATGTTTGCTTCATAAATTAATGTGTTTGCTAAGATAAAAGAAAACTTTAAAGTAGTAATTACAATAGTGCCTAGAAGAAGGCCAACTTCAGACAGACAGTGAAAGAGTACGGAATAGTCATTGTTATACTGAAATGAAAAATATACCACACATTCAGTCTATCAGGTTTATTTATATTTATTATAGCTCACCCCACTTAAACTACCTAATCAGATTCTCAGGAATTTTAGTTTTAGCAGAACTAAATTGGATATTTAGTCCCCAGTCACACTGGTGCATCTTGTCATGCAATTTGATAGTTTCAAATCGTGTGACAAGTCGCACCCTATTGTCTGCAATGGAAGGGGTCATATTGTTGTGATTCCAACTCGCACAGATTTTGAAAGTACTTAATGCACTACTTTTTGCAAGTTCAGGTGCAACTTGCATAGACTTCTGTGCATGAAGTCACACAGATGTCTTCCATGTTGCACCTGAAGTTGGACCAACATCCGACTTTGAATTCAGGTGAAGTTGCACAATTTCAAAGTCAGATTCGGTGTCACTGAAGACTTAGGTGTCCGTTTATGAACCAGCAGTAATAGATCGCTGCTCAGTTCTCCGGCATTCTCGGAGAACACAGTTCTCCTGTGAATGCCGTTTATGAAGTATATGTAGATCAGTTCTCCAAACGAAGAAAGAACGGTCTACAAACGCTGGAAAACGGCTGATTTTACTATAATCGCGCGAGATTACAGTAAAAGATCAGTTTACTAAGCAGAGGTAAATTATCGCTGCTTAGTTTGCGGTCCCTCCGATTCTCCAGCTCTGGGCTGGAGAATCTGGAGGGAGAACACAGATCTCCAGTGAAGGGCTGAACATGTTCTCCTGAGTGTCATAAACTGTGAATGACCAGAGAATAGTTGCGATCCTCTGAATCTCAGCTATTCTCTGTGTCATAAAAGGACACCTTAATGTTGACATAATCTAGTGAAAAATAATCTTGTAGTAAGGCCTCTTTCACATAGACGTTCCGAATGGGTCTGCCTGCCCGTTTTTCAGGTGGACCCGATCGGAAAAACCGCCATTCTCCGTCCATCAGATCGGGTCAGAAGGAAAAGGACAGGTGGTCCATTTTCATCCGACCACCCATCACTCACCACTCACCACTCTGCAGCAGTGGAGCAGACACAGACCTGTCATTCCCTTGCTCAGTGGGGATCAGTGGAGAGATCCTCCACTGAGCAGATAGATCCACTAATTGAGTCCACCCATGTGAAAGGATCCTAAATCAGCCCATTTATGTATTTTTTTTGTCTTGTCAATTGTGTTCTCAAAATATAACTACGAGTTAACTGATATTGTTAATTGCTATTTAATAATTTTATTTAAATAAACAGACAAAACTAAATGTGCATATTAAAAAATATTGCTTACACACAGCAAATTATGTATCCTTTACACCTGCTTGAATTTGTGATGATTTTGTGTTTTTAACAGACCCACTCCAGAAATTATGTGGTATAAGAAAGGAGGAGAGCTGCCCAGTCAGAAACTGAAGTTTGAGAATTACAACAAGACCCTGCGTATTTCACCTGTCTCTGAGGAAGACAGCGGAGAGTATTTCTGCCAGGCATCAAACAGGATGGGAAGTATCAGACACACAATTTCTGTTCGTGTTAAGGGTAAGGCCCAAAAATCAGAAAACATTAGAAATGTATACCACATTTTAACAAAACTACATGAGTTTATATTAAATGGGGTCATGTAGTAGTCCATAGGCAATCTGAATTAGACTTTTACTGATCTAATTGAAAAGTATGATTTCTGATTGTTTTGCTTTAGTTTCTTCACTTTGTCCATCAGCATGCTAAAAATTAAAATTTTGTCTGAAGTCTCATGTACTCTAAACAACAAAAAGTTCACTCTCTGTACACAACCTCTAAAATACAGTCATATAAACAAAATTTCACACCATAGTCTTTAAGGGTGCAGAATGATTCTATAAAACAGCCCCAGCGCAGTGCTATATTAAAATGTATACTTTATTATATAAAACATTATTATAAAACATTATTTATGTTAAAGCTATGCTTGCATTTTTCATGTAAAGTTATAATATTCAGTAATATCCAATATTCAAGCAATGGATATCATAAATGTTTTCACTTTGGCCATCTAATGTAAAAAACAAGATGGTATTAATAATCTTTTATAATCCAACAGTGTGGCCACCAAAAATGTCCTTTATACACTAACAGAACATTAATTGTCCCCAGGGGCGGACTGACCATTCAAGCACTCGGGCACTGCCCGAGGACCCGGGGTCAGTAGGGGGCCCCATAAAATGCCCATGGTACCTTTTTTATAGGCTTTTTTGGATGTGCTTTGAGTGTGGGCAAGGACACAGAGGCCCCATGATCCCCTATTGCCCGGGGACCACATGAGTTGTCATTCCGCCCCTGATTGTCCCATGTTAGAATTGTTCTGGTTCATAGATGTTTAAGTATAGTATAATGCAATGTATAGTCATAAATGGCTGTCACCCTATACTCAGTCTTATCAGCAACAAACTGTACATATTGTTATGCTCCATAAAGAGTTCTCTGTCATTTGCTTCACTACTAATTGCATAAAGCAACAGGAACAAGCATAACAACTGTAGGCTGATGGCAGTCGTCTGATAAGGATGTAGCCTCCACAATTTTGCAAAATACATGCCTAATCAAACTAAGACCATTGTTCAGAGACATCAACCATGTATAGTTTATGTTGCCACAATTTTCAAGTCTCTGGCTAAACTTTCTGAAACTGTCCTGTCCGTGTTGATTATTGACTTGCTCATAAGAACAAATGCTTGGGCTACCAAGATGGCAGTCTTATAATGGTGATAATATCAGTTATTTATCTAATGAGTAATGAGCAAAGCTATTGTAGAGATTTTAAATAGACCCACCCATCCACAAAATGGCATATGAAACAATACATAGTCCAAATGGTGTCCAGTATCCAGAGCATCAGGTAAACTCACCAGAGCACAAACTATTCCATTATGTATGATATTATATGAAACAGTACACCCAGTTCATCCATTTTAGCAGGATAGCATTATCCATAGCATAACAGTGTGTTAGAGACTACTGCCTCATGGGCATCAGTCTCTTCAAGTCACATAGATTGAATGCATCCTCATGTGTTCCACAGTTCCTTTTTCCTAATCACAATCTAGGAAAGTGTTGCGTCCTAGGGAATGTTAGGTTTGTAGCATCTGCAAGATCAGGACAAGGGAGGCCAGAGGGGCAGCTTTGATAAACCAAAAGAACCAGGCAGTTCAGGTATTCTGACATGCTTACTGTCAGAATATAAAAGCCATTAGTAGGAGATTTGTCCATCCACTCTTTGTGTGTATGGCCAGATTAAACTTTCTTCTACTGCATGGAATTTTTTAAAGCGGTATAATTTTTTTCTTATTAAAATAACAAACATTTTACACTCACCTGCTCTGTGCAATTGTGTGTGTATATATATTTATTTAATTTAAATTTTTTCTAATATTAATTTGTTTACCATAGAGCTATATGTTTTTAATGTCTATGTAATCCTTTACCCTGAGACAGTGTAGCTCTAGGAGATTGCCCTTCTGAATCTACCTAAAATGTGTGTTGTCTCTCAAAGAGAACTGATTGGTAAGATTCTAAAATTATTTTTTTGTTACCTCAGCGGCTCCTTATTGGCTGGATGAACCAAAAAACTTGATTTTAGCCCCAGGTGAAAATGGTCGTTTGGTTTGTCGAGCCAGTGGCAACCCTAAACCCATCATTCAGTGGCTGATGAATGGAGAAGCAATTTCAGGTAAGCTTTTATGCACAGCTAAGGAAAGGACTATGTGGCACTTTTTTTTCTACTTTAATATTTACTTGCAAAGGTGCAATTTTTTTTTATATTTAAAACACTGAAAATGTTATTTACCAATGGATATGCTCATTAGATGCTTGAGTCAGATTTTTATGTAATAAAAACTCAGAGCTGAGATTACAACACGGATGCTGTATAAGAACTCCAAAACCTCTGTTACATTCAACTTGGTAATGCAGTGTGATATCAAAATTACTCATTTGGTCATGCATGGACAGTTCTCCTCTGCATGTGATAATGAGTGCCTCCAAACTACATGAAGACTTGTTGCCCCCATGAAGTATATAAACAGCCCCATTATCACAATGTTGGCTTTCTAGCTGCTGAGAAAGCTCAAATCCCAAAACATTCTAAATAGAGCATATTAGGTCTTGTAGTGACAGCTAAATAACAAGACCCATCACAATCTGAGTATAATTACATATATGGAATTTAGTGGTTTAGCATTTAAAAGACATTTTTTGCAACCTATTGCTCTCTAGCTGCTGGGAAACTACAGATCTCAAAACAATTTGACTGGATGTGCATATTAGGACTTTTAGGTTTGAAGACCTTAAAACAACCCTATTTATTTATTACAGGTACTCATATAACATCGTCAATTTACACAGCACTTTACATATTGTACATTCACATCAGTCCCTAACCCTCAAAGAGATTACAATCTAATGTCCCTAACCAGGGCCGGTGATAGACTATTTTGCGCCCTAGGCAAGACCAACTACTTGTGCCCCCCCAAATAAATAAATACATTTTAAAACAGTAGAAAATATTAAATCAACAAAAAATTCAACTGCTACATTTCTTTTAATTTGCAAAAATAATTGCCATAAGATGCCACCAGCACCAATATTAAAGAAAAAAATTAGTGTCACAGATGGACTGTATCTGTGGCTGGCAGTGGAAGGGAGAAAATTGCAGTGAGTGGAGGATGATGGATCCATACTCTGACAGATCCAAAGCTGGAATTCCCCAGGCAATGAGGGGAGATAAAATGCTGTGACAGCTGTGGAACTATCCCACACAGTGACAGATCCGACACAAACACACCACCATCAACAATGACACAGATCAGCAGGCCCAGCAGGCACTAGAAGAGCAGGCTGTGGGATCATGATGATGTCATCACTTACTGACACACTGCACATGTGATGGATGTCCAGCCTGCGGGTCACATTTACACAGACACAAGACGTCAAAGTCAGACATTACCTTCCTCCGCTGATGAATGGGAAGACGAGGGCTGGAACTCCATAGTGATCAGCAGCTGCCAGCCGGGTTGCATTAAGGGACTGAGTCTAAGAGGAACACTGGAAGAAGTGGCAGCTCAGCTGCTACACTGGTCCCAGAGACCTGGCATCTTCCTCTGTCCTTTCTTCCTCCCGTCTGCCACCCCTCCTCTCAGTTGATTGATCATTCATGACGTGGTGGCATCCCACACAGAGAGAATGGTGGTCTGTGCTGCACCCAGGCACCCCTAGGTGGCAGTGTGTCCTAGGCAGCCACCTAGTTTGCCTAGTGGAAGCAGCGGCCATGTCCCTAACTCACATTTATACATACACATACTAGGGCCAATTTAGACTGTAGCCAGTTAACCTACCAGCATGTCTTGGGAGTGTGGAAGGAAACCCACACAGGCACAGGGAGAACATGCAAACTCCAGCCAGTAATGTCATAGTTGGAATTCAAACCAACGACCCTAGTGCTGCTAGGTGGAAGTGTTACCCACTTAGCCACTGTGCTGCCCAACGTTGTCACTACAGTAAACTTTTGAAATTAAGGTATTCTGGTAAGAGAACCTTGTAAATACTTGACCTTCCAGCTGCCCATGCCACAGAACACCACTCCAGTCCTGAGAGCTTTTCTGCCAAAATCCACAGAAACATCTCCTGGGTCTCCTGCAGCTGTCACTGGTTCCTTCTGCTGACCTCCATGCCATTACTGAATCCTGTAAATTATTGAGGTCAGCAGGAGGAAAGCGTGAAAGCTATACTGTATGTGGATATTTCAGCGCATTATTATTGGGTATTTGAATGATATCCAGTGTTTTATTTCCACTTTTTCATCTTGGAAAATCTTACTAGACATTACAATACAAGTTAATTTACTTACTGCTAAGACAGCAGAAACTTTTTTTTGTGAAAAAAAATGTATTACCCTTGTCCAGAATGATATGCACTGCAATTCAGAGGCATATGCTTACTGGTTTGAAGTAAAAATCAAAACATAAAAAGAGGATGATCCAGTTACAAACTCATTTATGAGGTTGGACATTTGAATCAGCAAGATTTCCTTTCAATTACCATGTGATCCTTGGCTGTTAATAGTTTGGTATGATGGACCAATGGTCTGATGAATGTTGTAGAAGTTTTTAGAAATTTTTAATAAAAATGAAGTTAATGTTATCAAGTGCACATTACTATCTTATGTTATCATTTCTTCCATTGTAATAGCTCCAAACCCAAATTTTGAAGTTGCTGGTGACACTGTCATTTTCCGAGAAGTGCAGACTGGTAACAGTGCAGTTTTTCAGTGTAATGCTTCTAATGCCCATGGATATCTGTTGGCTAATGCTTTTGTCTCCATACTTGGTAAGGAAAGCTGCAGTGTCTTATTTTATTACCATAGCGTTTATTAATTTGATTTGGTACTATATGAATAAACTTGGTAAATATAACTTTTTTCTTGAGTGAGATCATTGTATTTCTTTATTTATCTCTGTTCCAATTATCAGACAACTTTGCTGTGATCTATTGATAAGTGTTTATCAATGTGGCAGAGTTATCTATAGGATAGTAAAACAATTATTATATTAAATGTGATCAGTTTGTTGATGTGTGTATTTACAGTTTTCATTCAACAGCCGTTATTCCACATGAATCCAGACCAGCGGCTTAGACCTTCTGGTCATCTGTAGTTGGTGCATTCTGGCCTCATAAAGTTACATAATATTCTGTCTTTCTCTTGTTCCCTTATTGTGTCTTTTTGGCCATTCCCTAAAAGCAAACATATGCTTTACCCATGGAAGGAAAATGAGTCACATGCTCCTCTATACCCAGAAGTATCTGGTATTGTCTTTGATTAATAGAACAGATGAGGATGAAAGCAAAAGTGAACCCCAAGTAAAAGACAGACATACCATATTAGGAGATGCTTAGTCTTAAAATTAAATTATATAATGTTATATGATGAGCAATTACAGTGTCATAATAAAACAGACAGTAGCCCCCTGGGGCACACTGAAGAGGGAAAAGCTGCTGCACACGTGGTGCAGCGAATAGTGTTGTGCATGGTCACATTAAACTGAAGAGTGGGCACAGCCTAAAGAAACATAATTTGTGTGTATGTATAGCCAAAACTTTATTTTTAGAGTCTGATTTGTTTATTTTGTCTGTATACCATCGGAGGAAACATTCCTCCTCTCACATGTCCCAGAGACACAACCAAAAGTTAGAAGAAATCTCTTAAAGAGTGGGGAATTCTAATATTGACAGAACAGGTACCCCCATTGAAGGAATTCCCTTGAGCTCTTGCTCTGAGGTTAAGTGTTAGATTTCCCATCACTTTGTTTTTTGGTGACAGTGCACACCAGCACAAATGAAGAAGTGAATTCTCCCAGTGGGAAAGCAGACAGCAATAAAAAAAATTAGCAGAGTGTCTAATCCCTCCCAACTCTATCCATAACTTTAAAAAAGTTTTTTGCCTAGATATACACTTTTCAGTTGATTTACTAAAACTGAAGAGTGCAAAATATCATGCAGCTCTTCATAGAAACCAATCAGCTTCCAGGTTCAAAGTTTGATTGAACAAGTTGAAGCTAGAAGCTGATTGGCTACCATGCACAGCTGCACCAGATTTTGCATTCTCCAGTTTTCGTAAATCAGCCCCTTTGAGTAGAACATGAGCCCAATAGCTTCACTGCACACAATTCTGCTTTAACCTAAAATTTGTTTTAAAATTTTGGAGGAGTAGTAGGACTATGAGAGAAAACAAGAGAATTGCATAATAGATGCAATGGGATTAATTTACTAAAAGCAAAAAGACTGTACACTTTCAAGGGATGTTGCACAATGCAATGAAAGTTTCCCCAGAACTAAGTGAAGGTGAAATTTCACTTTGCAAAAAAATACCCAATCACATGCAAGGAAAAAAAAAAACATAGTTTTTGTGGTTACACATCATTGGATGGTAGAAGTCAGTAGAGTTACACCTCATTCCCTAAACTCTGGGGACAATTCCCCTTCAAAGTGCAGTTTTACCTTTAGTAAATCAAACCGAATCTGTTCATACCTATTGTACAGGTTCTGTTATACATTAGAGATGTGTTAAGCATAATACTGTATCTACTGTATGTACATATCTCTTAGGTTTAATTATGTCCTTTTGCATTTTAATACCTCGCAATGTTGTAGCTTGTTATGGCAGCATAGTGTAAAGAGCTACATGTGTAAAACAGAAGATTTATACAGTTCAATGTAAGGGTGCAGAAGAAGAAAATAAGTAAGGAAAAGGCAATGGGGGAGAAGCATTAGTTAATACAAGACAGGGAAGTTAGGGGATGAGCAGTGTAGTAAGGGATGGGTGGTGGTGGGAGGTACTGGTAAGAGGTGGGTTTGAGAAGATATTAAAGGAGAACCTGATCGGAGAGCGAAAATGACCACCGGTCTAATAATGTGGTCCATGATAGAAGCATGTATTTAAAACAAGAGTAAGCTTTAAAACAGTCTATGGTCTGGAAAAGTATCAATGCCTTTCCAGGTGTTAGAAAATTAGATCCAGTGGTCAAATAACTGGGCCATCTATTCCGCTTCCCTAGCTATTGCCTAGTGGTTCGTGGAGCTCTTGGTTTCCAATGTTTTGGTATAGTGGATCTAGCTGTCAGAATAAAAAAAATCTGAGATTTTTTTTTTACAGTGGATATTGTACTCAGAATAAACTGACAGCACGGCTAGTTTTGGGGACTGTATAGTACTGGAAGAAGTCACCAAGTCATAGGTGTTAAAAAGTTTTTAATATGGTGTTATTAGTGTGCAAGTCCAGCAATAATGGGTTATGGTGGGACCAATCTTTTGTCATCTATGTCTCATTTAAGAGGTGTCCCTTCCTTTCCTGTACTGTGGACACAACAGGAAGTGAGAGGAAACCTCCTCATAGTGAGGTAGATCCCCTCTTAGACAGTCTTCACCAAAACAAGTGTCCCCATTGGAAAATATTACCTCTATTCCTGTTATATCAACAACTCAAAATGTTAGATTGTGCCTCACTTTCAGTCCTGGTGACAATGGTAACCAGGAGAATTAAAGAGAGGGAATCTTCCTAATGGAGACACAGACAGTGGGCTCTAACCCCTTACTATTCTCTATCCACAACTAAAATCAAAAAGAAACTTTGTATAAACTTTGATTACCAACAGTTATTAAGACACACATAAACCTGTAGGCAAAAAAAGATATTAAAAAAACAACAACAAAAAACATAAAATATTTGTCTTCAGGCAAAAGAAAATATTTTTTAAAAACTAAATTTACATATTTGCCTTTCTGAAAAAAAGAATATAAGCAGAGAACTAACACTTTACATGAGCTTTCTCTACAGATGTTATAGCTCTAACAGGTTGGATCAGAGTACAGTTGTCAAATAGAGCACAACCAGTGTATGCTGGGAGTACAGTGTCCATACATATGTAACACATATCACAACCGACAGACTGTAGTGGTCAGGAGTACCTAATGTTCTCTATATGTTATATACTCCTGACCTTTATACAAAGTGCAGAGGTCAGGAGTGTGATTTAACACACGAAACAAAGTGAACATGTCACATACAACCCAATCTACAGCACAGCATATAGTAATATTCCCCCAGCAACTTTTTAGCCACCTCCAACCAAAAATTCTTGGCTGGCACTAAGGCTGTCGGCTTGTGGTTCTCAATGGAGCACCGTGGTAGTTCATTGATTCTTCCTGTCAGTATATCTGCTTGCCTGTACATCCTGTACAGGCAAGCAGATATACTGACAGATCTGCAGAAAACCTGCATGGCACCAGTGCTTTACAGGTTCCTGCAGCCAAAAATATTAAATGCACATTTTTTACCTGCAAAAAAATGTGCATTTATTATTTTTGTACAAAACGTGAACTTATTCTTTAATATTCGGTCTGAGCATACAAGGATTTGTGCTCTGTCCATATTTATGTCATTGTGGACATTTTACTGCCTGTCCTGATGGATTGAACAGTACTAAGTGAGACGTTCAAAGCTTGGGATATTTTTTTATAACCTAACCCTGCTTTAAACTTCTCCACAACTTTATCCCTGACCTGTCTGGTGTATTCCTTGGCCTTCATGATGCTGTTTGTTCACTAATGTTCTCTAACAAACCTCTGAGGGCTTCACAGAACAGCTGTATTTATACTGAGATTAAATTACACATAGGTGGACTCTATTTACTAATTAGGTGACTTCTGAAAGCAATTGGTTTCACTAGATTGTAGTTAGGGGTATCAGAGTAGAGTAGGCTGAATAGAAATGCACGCCACACTTTTCAGAGATTTATTTGAAAAAAAAATTGAAAACCATTTATCTTTTTCCTTCCACTTCCACTTCTTCTTCCACTTCACAATTATTTGCCACTTTGTGTTGGTCTATCACATAAAATCCCAACAAAATACATTCACGTATTTGGTTGTAACATGACAAAATGTGGAAAATTTCAAGGGGTATGAATACTTTTTCTAGGCACTGTATATATATAGTATATAATTAGGCCCAGTATTAGGTGTAGTTTAATCATGCCCACTTTTTGCTTGGGCCGGCTGCATGCCACAAGTCCTTGTCTTCCTTCTTTCTTAAGTTCTTGAGTTGGGAGGTATGAAAAAGAAATATGCAGTTTTTTTTAATACGAAATTGGAAATTTTTATGTATTACAGATGCAATGCACTTTAATTTATCACCCTTTTTATCCTACCTATCCAACCAATGGATAGCTCTTTAGACCTTTACCATCACATGCATCTCTTGGCTGTCTACATTTTACTTTAACTACCATCATACCATGTTGTCTATGTATTCCTGTTCTAGAAAGTATATTTGCATCTGATGTCTTACTATTGTGAACAAATACATACATTTACAGTGCTTCTCTGTTTCCTATTGTAGATATTCCATCGCGAATGCTGGGCGTTCGAAACGAGTTAATTAGAGTAATTGAATATAATAGGACCCAGTTAGACTGCCGCTTTTTTGGATCTCCTATACCTACTCTTCGCTGGTAAGGCTTGTACTGCAAGTAGCCATCATGTCTGTCTCTATTGTGGTTTTTTAATCTTCTTTTTAAAAGAATATCAAGTAAAAGCAGAACAGGATTTTACTTTTGACAACTGTAGAATTGGATCCACATCATACATTTTATTTTGCTCTGTTTCAATGGACATGGTAGGTTTAAGAACGGACAGGGCAGTAACCTGGATGGAGGAAATTACAGAGTGCATGAAAATGGTACACTGGAGATTAGTACTGTGCGAAAGGAGGATCAAGGCAAATACACTTGTGTTGCTACAAACATCCTTGGCAATGCTGAAAACACCGTAAGGCTGGAAGTCAAAGGTAAGATCATGGGTAGAGTTAAGTTTTTCTATAATTGTCTCTACTTTGTCTATAGTAATCAAAATATTAAAATATTGTTTTTGAGCAGGTTTTCAAGTGTGTAATTGTAGTTTTCAATCACAGTTATCTCATTTTGGAGGAACTATTAACTCATATTGAAGGATTTAAACAGCTATAGAAACATTTGACTTAAACATAATCATCTTAGGTGTGTGAGCCTTTGTTGTTGGATAATACAGCATTAAATAGTGAATCACGTTCATGGTTAGTGACCTATTGTTTATGGGAAGATTATCAGCAGAGAAATGTAGTTTTAGACCTCCCTTATATCTAAAGCCAAAAAAAGTAGTTTTTTTTGTGTTTTGGATAGAGTAGTGGAGGGTTAAAAAACACTCTCAGTTTTTTGTCATTTCTGTCTCACAGGGTGATTTTTCTTTATTTCCTGTCCTGTATCCTCAATAGGAAGTATAGAGATATCTTTCAAATATGACAGATATGCCCCTGTAGACAACTGAAACAGAAACAAGTGTCCCCATTGGAAATGTTCCCCTCCTTTACATTTCTGGTGCCAACTGCAATTGTTGGCTCTAGTTTTACATTTATTTCTGGTGACATTGGCGATTCTTCCTAATGGCAACCCAGACCACAACACAAACCTGGTAGGGTTCTATCCTCTCAACGCTCTTTCTGAATATAATAAAAGTATTGCCTTAAATTGTACTTTAATATAGGCTATAGTGTTACAAATTTGTGGTGTTGGCACCAAATCTTCTGCTGATACCTAAATGGATGGTACCTGTCTGATTCATGTTTAAATGTCAGATTTGGGTATCAATGTGGATGGCCAAATTGTTGCTCTGCAGGCTACCTGCATTTAGGAAATAAAATTCTCAGTAAGTCAACAGTTGTCATTTTGAACCTGAACTTCAGACATGCGTATAAATGCACAGTTTACATACATAGTATACATATGCACTGTTTTACTTGCCAACATTTTTGTAAGTTGGTTCAGTCAGTCTTTTGATCAAGCCACCCCTGCAGACAGCACGGGGTTGCTGACCTAATTTTTTTTTTTCACTGTAACCCAAGCTCTTCAGCTTGGTAATCAGACATGAAGGGCTTAAGTACAATGATGAAGTCATCATTCTGCTCTTTCCTCCTTTTTTCTCAAGTTTCAAGTCTTAGAGTGAAGCACTGTGAAACACAGGATTACACTGCAGTCTTTCCCTTTCCCAATGCTGCTGTTTAGGTTGTCACAGGAAACTAATATGTAGACATATTCAGATAATTGTACCAGTACCAATTGTTCAAATTTGAATAACAGAGGTAAAAAATTGTAACATTACCAATAACAAAAGTACAATTATGCAAGGCCACTTACCTATTTTCCCTAGAGCCAACTCGCATCGTGAAGGGTCCAGAAGATCAGATTGGTAGACGTGGCTCCACTGTTCGGTTGGACTGTCGTGTTAGGTGGGATAATACACTGAGACTAACAGTCACTTGGATGAAGGATGATACTCAGTTGTACATAGGCAACAGGTTTGTGTAAACAGACTACATTATGTGGTTATAAATTACATTCAGAAGTAAATGTTTGCTTAGAACATCCTGAATATTGTAAAATACATTGTTTGATGCTCTTGCTAGGCATGTCTGTGCAATTTTTCAAGTCACTAAGGCCATTATTAATTATAAAGACATTGATTGTTTGAACCACATTCCAGCTTTAAAAATATAAAATTGTATAGGAGCCACAAAGGGGTATGAAAATGTAAATTGTATATCTATATGCTTTTTAAAGCATAACTAAACTGCATCTGAGCACCACAAACTGAAAATGCTGTTTAATTCATTTTTAGTATTCAAAGCAAACTCAAATTCACCCATCCATCCATGTCTCCATGCTTTATTTTGTTGAAAAACACCCCTTAGCATTTCTGACTTAATAATCGTTCCAGTAATGTACAGCATAAATTGCCGTTATTAAAGCCCCAAATGGTTAAACAAGTGTCTGTGCTTGTGCTCCAACTTGGTTGAAGTGCTTAATTTATGCAACTAATTCAAAGTGCTCCGCAGTGCTTTTCTGAGCTCTCCTAAACCATACCAGGCCACATGCCCTTAACATGGGGGGTGCTGTGGGGCAGGGGGGCTCCCCCCCAAAGCACCTTGTCCCCATGTTGATGGGGACAAGGGACTCTTCCCCACAACCCTGGCCGATGGTTGTGGGGGTCTGCGGGTAGGGGGTTATCAGAATCTGAAAGCCCACTTTAGCACCCCCTCCCCTTATGTGAATGAGTATGGGGTACATGGTACAGCTACCCATTCACAAAAAAAAACGGAAATGAAAAAAGACAGTCTTTGACAAGTCCTTTATTAAAAGAAGGAAAATAAAAGAATGTCCCCCGAAGTGGATCCAACGTCAATCACAATGCCCACCGCCGCTACCCGAAAAAAGAAAAACAAAAGCTCTGCTCCCGACACTGACTCCCACCGTCTGACTGCTCCGCTGGCTTCACAGTTCTTAAATATGTAAGGGGTGGGGCCACCTGGTGACATCACCCGTGTGATCAACATGGGGACAAGGTGCTTTGGGGGGGAGCCCCACAGCACCCCCCACCATGTTGAGTGCACGTGGCCTGGTATGGTTCAGGAGGGGGGGGGGGGGCTCGCTTGTCCCCCCTTTCCTGACCTGTAGGGCTGCATGCTCGGATAAGCGTCTGATGTGGATTTGGGGGGGACCCCACTGCATTTTTAATAAAATTTTGACATGTGGGTTCCCCTCAAAATCCAAACCAGACCCAAAGTACTTTGTTTGGATGGAGGGGAGACCCCACGTCGTTTTTTAATTATTTTTTAATTGCCGGCAATTTTTTTTTTTTTACATTCAGCTGTCAGTGGGGAACCCCGCTAACAGCTGATGAATCATAGGTTGTTAAGGACTCCATGGCCACCCATTCCTCAACAACCCATGACAGTACTGACAGCAGTACATACCACATGCCAGGACCACTACTCAATTACTGCATGCATTTAATTATTTCCTTCTGTGAATTTACTTTAAGGTCTTTTTATGCGGTATTTACCAAGTATTTTTGCTATTTTCACTAAATACCACATACTAGCAATAGTGAATTGACATTTTCAGAATTGCATGCGATATATGGTCACGTGACTGGCTTAACTCATGCAATAAGCTTTAGTGAATTGTGCCCAATATGTTACAGGACTAGGTATTGTGAATAGTAGAACTGTGTATTAGGTCAGAAAGAAACAGTTGTAGTTAAATGAAAAGGAGAAGTAGTTCTAAAGGCAGAAGGTTTTTTAGCTTAATGCCTTCTGTGCATTAAGGTAAAAAACCTTCTGGGTGCTGCTCCCCGTCAGCCACTCTTGTATTTACCTGAGCCTCATCTCGATCCAGCTATGTGCATGAGAGCCGTGGCTCTCCTGGGACACTCTCCTCATTGGCTCACACAGCAGAGAGAGCCATTGGCTTCTGATGCTGTCAATCACAATCAGTGAGCCAATGAGGAGAGAGTGGGGGGGGGGGGGGTCAAGCCATGTTTTGTGTGTGAGTGGAGACTCACGTTAAGATTTTGCCATTAATTGATCTACATAATGACGAATATCCCTGTTTGAAATTATAGTATTGCTATGTGATACATATACTGTGAATATTTATCTATCTATGTGTAGCTGTAACATTTGTAAGTTAATTTTTTGTGAAAGGAAAGATCTTGTTTTTGTGATGAAAAATTAAATAAATAAAATGTTAAAAAATTGTGAAATTAAGTGAAATGTTAGTTCTGGGTCTAGTTAAAATTCAAAAGTTTGAAGTTGTATACTAAAATTATGAGGATGCTTTAAAGGTACAGTAGCTAACAGCAGTTCATGCTAAATAAACTGTATGTAGCTGAGGCACTAGGAAGATGAGAATTTCCCATCCCGCACCTAGAACAATATTGAGTTGGTCTGAGTGCTGCTTATCCAGTCAGGAGAATTTTTGTAATCTCTGAATGAATACAAAGCTTCCTCTGAATGCCTAAGGCAGAGAAGCAGGCAAATGCCACCCCTCTTTTTAAGTTGGTTTTAGAAATGACACATGCTTTTTCATTAAGTAGTAATTGGACTGCGTTGTCTGATGGGTAGAAATTGGCATGCAGTTCCGCAGATCTGTCCCTGTTCATGCTGATGCAGACTCTCCTGCTGACAAGCTCATTAAAGTGTATCTATAGTCAAAATTTTAAATCATATAATCATTTCCACATCTCAATTTACATTTTTTCTAACCTACTCCTATTAAAGTGTTACTAAACCCAGGACCCTGCATTCACTATATCTGATCTCCAACAGTACACAGAACATGGAAATGCAATTATTTTAGTAAATATAAACTGCTAAATACCTTTTCTCATCAGAAGTTAGAGCAGTCTTGTGGCTTCTATCAGTGTTCAGCAGCGCACTGGTTAAAGCATGTAGGAGGAGTTTTCTTTCTGCTTTATTTACATTAAATTTGTTTTTAAATGTTGCGTTTATCTTCATCTTCTTTATTACCTAGTCGTCTAGAACCTGGAACAAGTATGCAGCTCAAGAAGTATGGGTCACTGACTCATAGTCAATAGGCTGGATCAGACTGAAAGAGCATGCAAATTTTCAGATACAGTCAGCAACAGCAGATAAAAAAGTTGATAAAAAGATTCAGTGAAAAGTGCTGAAATATCCGCAGTCAGCATGTAACATAACTTGTATGCATTAACTGTTTTTTATATAAATTTCCACTTATGAGCCAGCTTTTGAAACTGTCACTGCCATGTCACTGCCATGCTGAAACATTGTAATTGTGCCCCCTTAGCGTGCTCCCGCTTTGAACTACAACTGACACACACTGTAAATTTATGGAAAAAACAGCAAATGCATTTAAGATATGTTATTATTATCTGTTTTATGAAAACAAAAATGCCTTTAATGTCACTTTAATAAATTGGGGAAAGGCATTTCAAATGTCTTACCTTTACACATAGACCCCTAAATGTAGTTATGGTTCATAATTTTATACAGAGATTTAAAAAATTATGGAATGCTTTAATGTTTCTCTTTTACTGTAGAATGAAGAAGGAAGATGATGGCCTGACTATATTTGGAGTAGCAGAGAAGGATCAGGGAGCGTACACCTGCATGGCTAAAACAGAACTGGATCAGGACTTTGCAAAAGCATATCTCACTATACTGGGTACTTATACTGATTTTGTTAGCCCACTTTGTAAGATAAAATCAGGATGTCTTGAAAGCCTATAGCTGTAAAGCAGAAGAACTTCCTGAGTAAATATCTCTTTCTTTAAAAAAAAAAAAAAAAAAAAAATATATATATATATAATTACTATAAGCCATTTGGCGTTTACTGTTACTGTTACCTTGCCATTTCAGTCTTCACCCAGCTAAAATTTACAAAAAATAAACAACATATGGCTTTCTTTTTAACTTTGGCAAACATGACAACAGTTCTAGCATTCTGTATATCATTGTGTACAGAACTGCTAAGAAAATGTAATTGCCCACTAATTGGTTGACTGCTTTTTTTTTAGCTTTTCTCTGATTACATCTGGGAATTATGTTACAATACCAGACAAAACCTCCTGCTCAGCACTGAAGGTAGCAAGTGCCTACACCATGTAGGAATTGAGTAGAATTCTTCTTACATTCTCTGCAGAAATAGAAGCAGGTTGAACTTTGCACTACAGTGTGGTAAAATCCCTGCATATGTATATTTTTCTACATAGAACTGAATTTACACTCTAACTTATTAAAACTAAAAGCTAGTGAATGCCAGAAAATAGTTACTTTACTGCAAACAACCAAGGCATGCTGGCAACTGCAAAACCTTGTAACGGCCAAGCAGACTTCTATCCCAGAACCTTGTAGCAGCTGAGCAGCAGGACGTCAGTGAGCCCACCCTCCTGCCCTCTCTGTCTTACATCTCATAGCGTGTACCAGCCAAGAGACTATCAGTGATGACAGTGAGCCTGTTTACCCACCTTATATCATTATTAGAGATGTGTTATAATAGCAAAGTTCAATGCACGTTTGTCCACTACAGGTCATTCTTATGTTGTTAGATGCTTAACAATTCTTACCCATAAATATTTAACTATACATAACAACCAACCAACCATCACAAGGAGCTTTGTCTAAGGTGTGGTAGATGGGTTTTTGCTATATACCCTTATTGAGTTTAACATTTTTCTTAGATGCCTATTGTTTTAGGGAGAGAATATTTTTTTCCGTAGGAAAATCTTCCTTGTTTCCAGGTAAAATGTAGGTGCCAACATTTGCGTTAACATTAACCCTTTATGTTTTTAACATATCCCTGTTGCTTCACAGAACCATCCTCCTCACCTACTAGTCATCTGACAACAGTACTAAGAGGTAACGATTCCTTACTAACATTTTCAACCTTCTGGACACTGTTAAATGTTAGTGCAATAACTAATGTTTACAGCCATGGCATATAGAGGGTGATGTACAATTTACCAATGTATCTGATTCCAGTTTTGTAAGCTGAACTTATTGTAGAGCTGAACAAAAAAAATTAGCTCAGCAGCAGAGTGAACGTAACCCCTGGATGAAACTACAGAACAGATAATAGGAATGGCAGAAAGCAGGTCTTGGTGAAAACACGTGTGACATTTTTTTACAGTCGCTATTTCCAAGATGTACAGGCATAAAAACAAAAACAAAGCCAGAAACTAAATCCTTGCCACTTTAGACAGCTTACTAACACACTGGACTTTGAATTACCATCATGGAGCAGCCTACTGCTGCTCAGGTACATAACTGTCACATAGAAAAAACAGTCTTATCCACACAGGATATGGTTGTTACCACACATATAGTTGTCTGCTCCCCATCCTGACACATAGGGGAAACCAATCACTATTGGACTCCTCTATAAACCCCAGTTCAAGCATTTTTATACTTCTTGCTGTATTGCCTCTCGTCTGGCTTCTGGAATCTGATAGGGTTTCAACTTGTCCCTTTCCCCTGGTGGGGTAGTAATGTCATGTTCAGTCACAGATGCCTAACCAGGCAGTTCTGGAAACACCTCTTTACTGCAGAGCACAAATTCTCTAGCTTCCTGTTGCTGAGCTTTTGGCAAAGTTTCTTCTATCCCGACTTTAGGAATTATTGAGTCACACTGAGAAGAAAGCAGTGTAGTATGAGCGACTATAGGTTTCCTATCCCTCCACGGTTTTAGCAAATTCACATGATATATCTGCTCATCTCCTTGGTTGGCGAATCTTGTAATTTGCTTCAGTCACTTTTCCCATTACTTCATAAGGGGCTATTGTAGTGTGGGGTCCTTCAGTTGTTCAGTGGCAAAAGTTTCTGTGTACTTCCAAATCAAAAAACACAAGAGGTTGTCGTCTCTATTCTGAGGATGTTCTGTTGTTTCCCCAGATAACACTGATCCTCTCCCACAGAGGTGGCATGTGGTTGTTGGGAAAGCAGACCTACTTGATGACACAGGTTACCTAGGGAGGGTCTTGAAAGACAGTTTTGAAACAGGGTACTCTCTAGTGTCCCCCATGTACACAAATTACTGCTATTTTTCTAAAGAGAGAGCTATTAATTTGGATTTCACCAGTGTTGCCAGGCTACCTGAATCCAGCAACACTTTTACCGTCTATACACATTTTGCAAAAATATTTCTTATTTACCCCTATTGTAGATCATGCCACAGTTGCAAATAGTGACTGACATCTCTCTCTAAGAAATCTCATCAACAGCTCATCTCTAAGAAAGCTCATCTACAACTAGGCAATTGGCCGCTGCATATCCCTCTTCCCAGAAGCAGTAGCAAATTATTCTTCTAGTCACCTCCAACAGACTTGATCCTTGCCAGACATCAGGAGTCCTCACAGTACCTTTAGTTCCCCTTTTACACTCTCCATTCCCATCACTTAGTGCAGTCTTAACCACAGCTGGGGGTGATCTGATCTTGGTGTGGAAAGTCCATGGGTCATTGAGAAAAGATGTAAGATTTTCAGTAGCTAGGTACCTTTTCTCTGGGTCCACAAGTTTGTCTGCTTATTGTGGATCTCCATGGCTCACTCATTTGTAGGACAATAGGGAGGGACCTCAGAAATGGGACCACTCATTCACATTTTTTGGTACAGACAAAGTTTCTGGCTGCAGCTATTTTCTGGTTAGATGAATGAGGTCATACATTTGTGACCTGGGTGATTTTCCTGATAACTCTAATTGTGTACATGCTGACTTTCCAAAATAGGGGGTCCACCAGTCCAGTCCACTGTTCTTTTGGTCAACTTTCTTCTTCTGGCTGTCCTTTCAAACTTGGTCAAAAGCACCTCAGGGTCATCATCCGCAATCATCTTTGACAACAGGTGGCTTACCCGAAAAGACAGCATATTACTGGAGTCACTCCTGCCCTCGACCTGCTACCCCTGTCAAAACTGCTTCCAAATTCTGGATTGTGGCAAGGGGGAGTGATGGTCAGTGGCCAGTCAATGCTGAAATTTCACCTGGCTAGAGAGGTCCTGTTGTGGGTCAATAATGTGAACCTATGAAGGGGCTTATTCTGTGACTGGCTACCAAAACGTACCAGGGTTGCCACAGTGCACACACGGAGAGGCCTGTGTGTATGTATGTATATATATATATATATATATATAGATATATATATATATATATAGTTGTGCTCAAAAGCTTGCATACCCTGGCAGAAATTGTGAAATTGTGGCATTGATATTGAAAATATGACTGATCATGCCAAAAAATGCTCTTTTATTGAAGGATGATGATCATGTGAAGCCATTTATTCTCAAATAGTCGTTTGGCTCCTTTTTAAATCATAATGATAACAGAAATCACCCAAATGGCCATGATCAAAAGTTTACATACCCTGGAATGTTTGGCCTTGGTACAGACACACAAGGTGACACACACAGGTTAAAATGCCAATTAGAAGTTATTGCCCCACATATGTGGCTTTTTAAATTGCACTTAGTGTCAGTGTATAAATAGTCAATGGGTTTGTTAGCTCTTACGTGGAAGCACTGACTAGGCTAGCAACTGAGCCATGGGTATCAGAAAAGAACTGTCAAATGTCCTGCGTAACAAGGTAATGGAGCATTATAAAGATGGAAAAGGACATAAAATGATGTCCAAAGCCTAGAATATGCCAATCAGTACTGTTAAATAACCTATTAAGAAGTAGAAAATTCAAGTATCTCTTGATACCAAGCCAAGTACAGGTAGACCAAGAAAGACTGCAGCCACAACTGACAGAAGAACTGTTCGGAATACAAAGGGAAACCCATAGGTAACATGGAAAAATACAGGCTTCTCTGGAAAAAGACAGTGCGGTTGTTTTGAAGGAGCACAATATGATGACACTTGAGCAAAAATGAGCTGCATGATCGAGGTGCCAGAAAGAAGCCTTTACTGCATCAATGACACAAAAAGGCCTGGTTAGGCATGTCAAGGTATTGTCAGGCATATTGTAACTGGTCTTTTTTGTGGCTTTGGTGCAGTAAAGGCTTCTTTCTGGCACCTCGACCAAACAGCTCATTTTTGTTCCAGTATCACCGTATTGTACTCTTTAAAAACAACCACACCATCTTTTTCCAGAACAGCCTGTATTTCTTTTGAGGTTGCCTGTGGGTTTTTCTTTGAATCCCGGACAATTCTTCTGTCAGTAATGGCTGCAATCTTTCTTGGTCTACCTCACCTTGGCTTGGTATCAAGAGATCCCCCAACTTTCCACTCCTTAATAGGTGATTTAACAGTACTGATTGGCATATTCAAGGCTTTGGACATCATTTTATGTCCTTTCCCATCTTTATAAAGTTCCATTACCTTGTTACGCAGGACTTTTGACAATTCCTTTCTGATCCCCATGGGTCACTATCTAGCCTAGTCCGTGCTTCCACGTAAGAGCTTACAAACTCATTGACTATTTATACACTGACACTAATTGCAATTTAAAAAGCCACAAATGTCGGACATTAACCTCTAATTGGCATTTTAACCCGTGTGTTACCTTGTGTTTCTGTACCAAGGCCAAACATTCCAGGGTATGTAAACTTCTGATCATGGCCACTTGGGTGATTTCTGTAATCATTATGATTTAAAAAGGAGCCAAACAACTATTTGATAATAAATGGATTTATATTATCATCATCCTTCAATAAAAGAGCATGTTTTGGCACGATCAGTCATATTTTCAATATCAATGGCAAAATTTCACAATTTCTGCCAGGGTATGCAAACTTTTGAGCACAACTATATATATATATATATATATATGCAGTGTGTATATATATATATATATATATATATATATATATATATATATATACAGTTGTGTTCAAAATAATAGCAGTGTGTTGAAAAAAGTGATTAAAGATCAAAATCCTTCTAATAGCTTTTATTTCCATACACACAAATGCATTGGGAACACTACACATTCTATTCCAAATCAAAACATGAAGAAAAATATATCAAATTTGTGTTGTTCCTCTAAAAAAATTGAAGAAAAGTGAATATTAGACTGTTCAAAAAAATAGCAGTGTTTGTATTCTTCTTTACAAACTCAAACATTTACTATATAAACTGAAAAATGTTTGAAGATTTTGCTTTCCTTTGAATCACTTAATTAATATTTAGTTGTATAATCACTGTTTCTGAGAACTGCTGTACATCTGTGTTGCATGGAGTCAACCAACTTCTAGCACCTGTGAACAGGTATTCCAGTCCAGGATGATTGGACTACATTCCACAGTTCTCTATTTCTTGGTTTTGCCTCAGAAACTGCATTTTTGATGTCACCCCACATGTTTTCTATTGGATTAAGATCCGGGGATTGGGCTGGCCACTCCATAACGTCAATCTTGTTGGTCTGGAACCAAGATGTTGCACGTTTACTGGTGTGTTGTCTTGTTGGAACACCCATTTCAAGGGCATTTCCTCTTCAGCATAAGGCAGCATAACCTCTTCAAGTATGCTGATGTATTCAAACTGATCCATGATCCCTGGTATGCGATAAATAGGCCCAACACCGTAGTATGAGAAACATCCCCATATCATGATGCTTGCGCAACCATGCTTCACTGTCTTCACAGAGTACTGTGGCTTGAATTCAGTGTTTGGGGGTCGTCTGACAAACTGTCTCCGCCCACTAGACCCAAAAAGAACAATCTTACTTTCATCAGTCCACAAAATGTTGCGCCATTTCTCTTTAGGCCAGTCAATGTGCTCTTTGGCAAATTGTAACCTCTTCAGCACATGTCTTTTTTTCAACAGTGGGACTTTGCGGGGGCTTTTTGCAGATAGCTTGGCTTCACATAGGCGTCTTCTAATTGTAACAGTACTCACAGGGAACTTTAGACCTTCTTTGATCTTCCTGGAGCTGATTGTTGGCTGAGTCCTTGCCATTTTGGCTATTCTTCTATCCATTCGAATGGTAGTTTTCCGCTTTCTTCTATGTCTTCCAGGTTTTGGTTGCCATTTTAAAGCATCTGCGATCATTTTAGCTGAGCAGCCTATCATTTTCTGCACTTTCTTTATATGTTTTCCCCTCTCCAATCAACTTTTTAATCAAGGTACGCTGTTCTTCTGAACAATGTCTGGAACAACCCATTTTCCTCAGAATTTCAGAGAGAAATGCACTGTAACCAGAATGTACAACATTTGCTGCCTTCCTTCCTTAAATAAGGGCAATAATTGCCACCTGTTTTTCAAAGAATGAATTACCTCACTAATAGAACTCCTCACTGATATTATTTTGAACATGCCCCTTTCAATTAGTGATTCAATTACACAGAATCAGCAGCATGCATGTCATGACTGTTGGGTCTGTTGGATTTCTATTACTCTACTACACCTGCTAGTAAATTATTTGCCATGTAGAAATATAATTTCTACCAAAAACAGTGATTGATCAGGTTAGTGATGTCTGACTGCTATTATTTTGAACACAACTATATATATATATATATATATATATATATATATATATATATGCAGTGTATATATATATATATATATATATATACACACACACATAGTAATTGCTCACTTTTGCTATATAGATAAACCAGACTCACCCATGGATTTGGAGCTGACAGATCTTGCCGAAAGAAGTGTTCGTCTTACGTGGACCCCCGGTGATGAAAATAACAGTCCAATAACAGGTGAATACTCTCTTGTTGTTACATGCTAAGTGGCTTTTCCAATTTGTATGTTGTTTGGATATACAGGCTTATTCAATAGGGCAGTGCAAATAACAATGATGATTTACAAAGAATAGTAACCTTAAGCAATCAGATTCCAGGTTAATGGAGTCAGTCAGCACAGCCTGTAGGTTTCCTGCAGCTGATCCTTTCCCCAAAAATGTTTTTTATTATTCCTCATCCTCAGACCTGCCTGCTCTGAGGACTGGTGATCAAAAAAACTGCTGCTTATTGGTGACTGGCGGAGGGAATGATCAACAGGCAGAGGTGGCAGAGCCACAGATTCAAGGACAGTAACAGCAAAGGGGAAGGAAGGCATCAGATGGCAGCGGGAGAGAGATGTAGGAATCAGATCCATAGTATGAAGTTGGAGCAAGAACTGTCTTGCACTGCAGGTCCTTAGGTACAGATTCCATTCTAGAAAGCCCATCACTCAAAAAGAAACTCCAAATTTATTAAGAACAGTAATCATTAGAGGTAGGAGGTAGGCTATGCCTTGCATAAGCTCACCCTGGTGACATGTCTAGGCACTGCCACATATCAAGATGTGTCATATTTAAGAATTCAATGAAAAAGGCAGATTTTTTTTAACATACTGCTTAGCCACAATTAATTATAAAGCAAAAAACAGTAACATTTTAATATATGTTTCTTTTAAGGGTTTGTTAGCACAGTGGTTAAGTGGTTAGTTAGCATTTAGCCACCTTGCAGTGCTAGAAACTTGGTCCTGACTGCCTTCAATTTTCTGAATGGAAATGATATGTTTCTGTTCTGCCTGTGGGGTTCTGTGATTGCCACCCACAATCCAAAAACCTATTGACCGATTAACGGGTTTCATTTCTGTGATCTGTTTGACTGTGTTGATTACATTTGATTCAAGGTTACTCTGGAGCAGAGACTAATGTTCAATGTTTTTAATGCACTGCTTTTTGTAAGTTAGTGTTATTGGTGTTATTTCAGTTTGGCTTAAATGAGTAAAATAAAGATTAATTTTCAGTGCTTGATATCTTTTACTCTTTAATTTGGGGAATGTACTTGATAGTGATCTGGGCTTGGTTAATTCAAACAGTTTAAAGTCGGTTTTGAACCACTTGATACGAAAAGGTGAATACTTCAGACTTATTTATGTTGCTTGTGTCAATTTTGGTATGGATATTTTCCTATCACACTTTTTTTAATATCTTTTTATCCTTTCTTCTGCCGAAATATTTTTCATTTAACAGGTTTCATTGTGCAGTTTGAAGAGGATCGTTATCAGCCAGGCACATGGCATAACCTTGCCACTGTTCCTGGTAATGTAAACTCTGCTTTTCTTCGTCTCTCACCGTATGTCAACTACCAATTTCGGGTACTGGCAGTAAATGATCTTGGTAGCAGTATGCCCAGCCCAACATCTGAAAGATATCAGACCAATGGGGCACGTGAGTAACTTAAACCATTCAAAAACAAATTAATTGTTTCTTGATTTTTTTAGCACAGTTAATGATTGCAAAGATATGCTTAAAATGAAAAAAAGTCTTAGTAAAAAAAGAGCAGAAAAGAGAAGAATACCAAATTGTGAAATCTTTTATTTTCTTGAGTCCAATACTTCTCAGGCCTCCAGCATTTCTTATTTAACTGTTCAGCTTTTTCATTTAAATTCATACAGTATATTAGCCAAAACAGTTCTATGCTTATATAATAATTAACTATATAAAAAATGATATATTTATTGTAATTTGTGTGGGTGTAGCTAAACACTTCAGTCCATGTTATGAAAATGTTGTGCCCCTGATGTTTTGTGCCTCATTGTCCTGCTATAATACTAGGATTTACACTATATTGTCATAAGTATTGGGACACCCCTCCAAATCATTGGATTCAGGTGTTCCAATCACCTCCATGACCACAGATGTATAAAATCAAGCACCTAGGCATGCAGACTGCTTCTACAAACATTTGTGAAAGAATGGGTCGCTCTTGGCAGCTCAGTGAATTCAAGCGTGGTACCGTGATAGGTTGCCACCTGTGCAATAAGTCCATTTGTGAAATTTCCTTGCTACTAAATATTCCACAGCCAACTGTTAATAGTATTATAACAAAGTGGAAGCAACTGGGAACAACAGCAACTCAGCCACAAAGTGGTAGGCCACGTAAAATAACAGCGCTGGGTCAGCTCATGCTGAAGCACACAGTGCGCAGGAGTCGCCAAGTGTCTGCAGAGTCAATAGCTAAAGACCTACAAACATCATGTGGCCTTCAGATTAGCACAACAAGAGTGCATAGAGAGCTTCATGGAATGGGTTTCCATGGCTGAGCAGCTGCATCAAAGCCTTACATCACCAAGTGCAATGCAAAGCGTCGGACGCAGTGGTGTAAAACACGCCGCCACTGGACTCTAGACCAGTGGAGACGTGTTCTCTGGATTGACGAATTCACACTTCTGTCTGGCAATCTGATGGACGTGTCTGGGTTTGGCGGTTGCCAGGAGAACGGTACTTGCTTGACTGCATTGTGCCAAGTGTAAAGTTTGATGGAGGGGGAATTATGGTGTGGGTTGTTTTTCAGGGGTTGTGCTTGGACCCTAGTTCTAGTTAAGGTGCTAGCAAACCAAGACATTTTGGACAATTTCATGCTCCCGACTTTGTGGGAACAGTTTTGGGATGGCTCCTTCCTGTTCCAACATCACTGCACACCAGTGCACAAAGCAAGGTTCATAAGGTTCAGACATGGATGGCCAAATTTGTGGTGGAGGAAATTGACTAGTCCTGACCTCAACCCGATAGAACACCTTTGGGATGAATTAGAGCAGAGACAGTGAGCTAGGCCTTCTCGTCCGACATCAGTGCCTGACCTCACAAATGCGCTTCTGGAAGAATGGTCAAACATTCCCATAGACACACTCCTAAACCGTGTGGACAGCCTTCCCAGGACAGTTGAAGCTGTTATAGCTGCAAAGGGTTGGCCAACTCAATATTGAACCCTATGGACTAAGACTGGGATGCCATTAAAGTTCATGTGTGTGTAAAGGCAGGCATCCCAAAACTTTTGGCAATATAGCATATTTGGGATAAAACAAGTCCTAGCCTCTGGGAGAAGGTATTGAAGCAAAGATAATCAGGATTACTTTATAAGTGTTGTCAATATTACTATACCACTCCATATATTTTTTCATTTGATCTTCATTGCGACTGCCTTTGATTTGCAATTTCAGCCCCAGAAGTTAACCCCAGCAATGTCCGTGGAGCAGGCACTCGAAAAGACAACATGGAGATAACATGGACAGTGAGTATACTTAGTACAGGTATTTGAAACATATATGTAGCTTTCGAGACCAAAGGTAATAGAATAGCATTAATGTCAAGTGTACAAATCTGCATGATAGCTAGATTTAGATAGCTATAATAATATGAACAGTAGGTTGACAAATGGAGGCAAGTTTTTTGGACAGTTATATCCTAAATATGTAGTCTTGATTCACTCTAGCATACATTTTTAAATGCATTAAAATAGAAGAGAAGTTTAAACGCAGCTCCTATTGTTGGTTTATGTCAGTAGAAAATAGTGACTGGACAAGATTTTAAACCTTGTCCCATCAATCTTTTCCCCAAGATTGGTTACCTGAGGGGTGCTGCTGCAACTGAAATTAGCAAAAATTCTGTTTACATGGGGAAAAGCAGAAGGTGGATGTACAGACTCCTGCTCTCTAACTGACTGCCTCTGAAAGCCCAAAAATCCCACATGGACTTCCCCACTGAAAGGCAGAGCACATTTTCCATTCTCTTTTACTGTAATACATTATGAAGGCATTGGGTTATAATTGCATTGTGTTGGTTAGCTGCAGAGGGTCCAGCTTCACATTCGGCCTATCTGCTTTCAGGTCTACCTCACACTGGTTCGAGCTGAGCTGATTTCAGTATGTGGTGCAACATGTCGTCTCATATACGCACAGGAGAGAACAGCCCTGCCATTTTATATGTACAGTATATATATATATATATATATATATATATTTATATATAGTGGCCAGGCAGGAAGCGCTTGAGTCATTATTCTGTGAGGACTTCAAAAGCCATTGTTTCTACTTTTTAGGGATTCTTTAATGACTGGCATAGTACCAATGGATTGGCGTAAGGCCAGTGTGGTGCCTATATTTAAAATTGGGTCAAAGTCTTTACCAAGTAACTCTAGACCTCTTAGTTTAACTTGTGTAGTTAGGAAAATAATGGAGAGTTTAATAAAAAAAACTATATAGATAAGAACAAAACATTTTAAGCAATAGCCAGCATGGATTTATGAAACACAGAAGTTGTCATACAAATCTTAGTGGCTGTGGATATAGTAAAGCTGAATTTTCCCAAAGCTTTGACACAGTTCCCCACACATGGCTAATATGTAAGGTAAAGTCTACAGGCTTGGAAAAATCAATGACTAAAACTAAAAACGTAGTGAGTTAATGACTCATACTGAATGGTCTAGGGTCATCAGTGGTGTACCAATAAAGTTCAGTGTTGGGACCCTTACTTTTTAATATATTTATGTACGATATAGGGTCTGAGATTATAAATCCCATTTCAGTCTTTGCAGATGACACTAAGCTGTGCAGCGGAATAACGTCCTTACAGGATGTCTTCAACTTACAAGCCGACCTCAATGCACTGTTTAATTGGGCAACTATGTGGCAAATGAGGTTTAATGTTGATAAATGTAAGGTTTGCACTTGGGGGCTAAGAATATGCATGCATCATACATACTAGGGGGGTACAACTGGGGGAATCAATGGTGGAGAAGGATCTGGGAGTTCTGGTAGATCACAAGCTTAATAATGGCATGCAATGCCAAGCTGAGGTTTCTAAAGCGAGCAAAATCCTCTCTTGTATTAAAAGAGGTATAGACTCCAGAGAGAGAGATATCATATTACCCCTGTACAAATCATTAGTAACACCTCATCTGGAATATGCAGTTCAGTTTTGGGCACCAATGCACAAAAATTATATTGGGGAACAGGAGAAAATGCAGAGAAGGGCAACCAAACTGATAAGAGGCATGGAGGAGCTCAGCTGAGATGAATTTATTCTCTTTTGAGAAGAGGAGATTGAGGGGGGATATGATCCCTCAGTGGGTAATGATGAAGAGAAAGATATTTTGGTACTTATTGTAAAGTCCAATGAGGGTCACAGATCCTACTTCTCTCCTACCTCTCTCTGTTGTTTGGCCCCATGTGCTTGTTAAAAAAAACTGAGGCATGCTGGGTAGTGGAAGGGTTATACAGGGGTTGGCGTAAACATATTCTGTTTGCCAGTGTCCCAACCTCCTGTAAGTGGCGGTAAAACCTAACAATTTCTGAATTGCTGTGTGGCTCAATAAAAAAACCCAGAAGAACAAGATTTTACTGTAAATACACAACTCATTTTTCCTGTATAATAGCAATTTTAATTTGTCTTTTAAACCTGAGATTATGCATGGCTTTTGCTCTGTCTCCTGCTAAAACTTTGCTAAACCACAGCAATCCCATGGACAATGAAACAAGCTGACTTAATGTGTACTGCATTCTAGGAAACACATTGTAGAACTAGGTGGAGGGTTCCTCCCAGCAAAGATACTAAAGTCTGGATAGGTGTTATGTAGTATTTTTTTAATTTTTCCTTCTCTATAATGTATTTATCATATCATTCCATATCATGTCTATTTTTGGACATACGTGACACATATTCAACATGTGACAAAAGACTCCAGATAAGCCCGAGAATAGTCGTGAATAGGCTGTGCCTTGTACCCAGAATTAGTTGATTTGTTAAAACTTCCATAGGGAGACAGGTAGTTAGTCAGGGTTGTACTTCTGCATATACAGCTAAAGTCCCTGCTTTGTCACCCTAACCATTTGTTGCTAATTTCTTGAGCAATAAACACACTAAAAGTGCATTATCCTCTTGCCCTGCAGAAGATGTATCCCCCTTCATGACCAGGTAATTTTTTGTTGTATGGCACTGCGTTACTTTAATTGACCATTGCGCGCTCATGCGGCAGTGTACTCAAACTAAATTTATATAATTTTGCACACAAATAGGGATGCACCGAAATTTTGGTGGCCGAAACGTTTTGGCCAAAAAAAAACCCCTTCAGCCATTGGTCGAAATGAAAAAAGCACCGACACAGGTGCCAAAAAAAACCTCGCCCCTTGCCGCCATCACGCCGACCCTCAGCACCACCCGCCCGCTGCTGCCACCACTGGCCAGCGCTCGGTAGTTCTCAGCTTTACTTGACAGACCATTGAATTATCCCAGTGCTGGGCATAGAGATGAGTGAAGGAAAGATGGCCTCCACTCATCTCTATGCCCTTGGAGGACCGGAGCGATGTCACTTCCGGTTGAGGCCATTTTTGATTTTTTTAAAGCACTAGATCAGTGGTCGGCAAGCCGCGGCTCGCGAGCCACATGCGGCTCTTTACCCAGTCTAATGCGGCTCTTCTGTGTGCCGGGCGCCTGCTCCCCTCCCTCCTCTCGGTCGGCCGCTCCCCTGCCTCCTCTCGGTTGGCAGCCCCAAAAGTCCGCGCGGACCTTTTAATCCGGCTTGCGGATGTGGCTGTCAGGATGTGTGTAGGCGGGGCAGCGTGCCGAACGTGAGGGGAGGGGAGCTAGGCTCCTCTCACAGTCCGCCCTGAAGACCCGAACGGCGCGGGAAGACAGCGAGAGGAACGCAAAAGGTAAGTGAATTGACACGGGGGACTTGGCTTACTAGAAGGGGGGGGGGGGAATAGTACTGTGGGGGATGAAATACTATATGAGGGATGAATTACTTTATGAGGGATGAAATACTATATGGGGGGATGAAATACTATATGGGGGATGAATTACTATATCAGGGATGAATTACTATATGAGGGATGAAATACTATATGGGGGGATGAAATACTATATGGGGGGATGAAATACTATATGGGGGGATGAATTACTATATGAGGGATGAAATACTATATGGGGGGATGAAATACTATATGAGGGATGAAATACTATATGGGGGATGAATTACTATATGAGGGATGAATTACTGTATGAGGGATGAAATACTATATGGGGGGATGAAATACTATATGAGGGATGAAATACTATATGAGGGGATGAAATACTATATGGGGGGATGAAATACTATATGGGGGATGAAATACTATATGAGGGATGAAATACTATATGAGGGATGAAATACTATATGAGGGATGAATTACTATATGAGGGATGAAATACTATATGGGGGGATGAAATACTATATGGGGGGATGAAATACTATATGGGGGGATGAAATACTATATGAGGGATGAATTACTATATGAGGGATGAAATACTATATGGGGGGATGAAATACTATATGGGGGGATGAAATACTATATGGGGGGATGAAATACTATATGAGGGATGAATTACTATATGAGGGATGAAATACTATATGGGGGGATGAAATACTATATGGGGGGATGAAATACTATATGAGGGATGAATTACTATATGGGGGGATGAAATACTATATGAGGGATGAATTACTATATGAGGGATGAAATACTATATGAGGGATGAAATACTATATGGGGGATGAAATACTATATGAGGGATGAAATACTATATGGGGGGATGAAATACTATATGAGGGATGAAATACTATATGAGGGATGAATTACTATATGGGGGATGAAATACTATATGAGGGATGAAATACTATATGGGGGATGAAATACTATATGGGGGATGAAATACTATACGGGGGATGAAATACTATACGGGGGATGAAATACTATACGAGGGATGAAATGCTATACGGGGGATGAATTGCTATGGGGGATGAATTACTATATGGGGGATGAATTACTATGGGGGATGAATTACTATATGGAGGATGAATTACTATATGGGGGATGAATTACTATATGGGGGATGAATTACTATGGGGGATGAATTACTATGGGGGATGAATTACACTATGGGGGATGAATTACACTATGGGGGATGAATTACTATATGGGGGGATGAATTACTATGGGGGATGAATTACTATATGGGAGATGTATTTTCAGTTTTAAAAATGTGGCTCTCAAAATAAATTTCAATCATGGTTTTGGCGAGATTTGGCTCAGTTGAAAAAAAAGGTTGCCCACCACTGCACTAGATCAATGCTTTTTTTTTGATCCAATGCTTTACATTGCAGAGAAGAGATGAGTGGTCTTATTGATCCCATATCTCTCCATAAAGAGGACCTGTCACTAATTATTTCTATCAAAAGGAATGCATGCATCATTT